AGTGCTAGGATTACAGGCGTGAGCCACCGCGCCCGGCCTATATTATAATTCTTGATAATATTTCTAATTAAATGATGATTTTCAGCCTTTCGAAATTTGACAAGTAATCTACACTATTTTTAATTATATCAGAAAAGCATAGTTTGTTTAAGACACTGGAAAATTTTTTTTTGTTGTTTTGGTCTTGAATGTTTATACATTTCTAGGTATGGTACCTGATAGTTGGGATTCTAAAGCTTTTAAGAAAATCAACTTAAACCGTGTAATTAATTTTTTCTCCTTGTGACAAGCTAAGAGACAGATTGCCGTTTGCAAGTAGTTCTCTGTAACTAAGACTTTGTAGAAAGGGGTAAGTGAAAAGTCAAATTGAATATGGAAGTCACTATATGTCTTTTTTTAACATTGGCTTTTGATATTCTATAGATATCTGGATGAATAGTCTGAAAATACTGTTTAAAAAATGCAATTTTCCTATTCGGAAAGCAAAGTTGCATAATTATTTTTATTATCTTGTGATTTAAATTAGAGTTACTTTTGCTTCTGTAAGAGTCTGTTTTGGATGATAATTAAGATGACAGATAATTTTTTTAAAAGGTCATTGAATTTGTGTAATAGTCAACATAATCACAGTGGCTGGTAGTAGTCAGCTGATTGAAACTTTCCCATAAACATGCTTATGACTTTTACTAACTGCCAGGCATGATCATTCCACATGCTCTTGTGGGGTTTTTTTTAAGAGACAGGGTCTTGCGCTGTTGCGCAGTATAGAGTACGATGGCGTGATTATAGCTCACTGCAGCCTCCAACTCCTGGGCTCAAGTGATCCTTCCCCCCCCCAGCCTCCTGAGTAGCTAGGACTACGGGCACACGCCACCACGCCTGGCAGCCCTTGTGTTTTTTTGTTTTTTGAGACAGTCTTGCCCGGGCTAGAGTGCTGGGGTGTAAGCCTAGATCACATCAACCTCAAACTCCTGGCTTTAAGCCATCCTCCTGCCTCAGCCTCCTGAGTAACTGAGACTACAGGTGCTTGCCACCACACCTGGCTAACTTTTTGTTTCTATTTTTAGTTGCCTGGCTAATTTTTTCTGTTTTTAGTAGAGACGAGGGTCTTACTCTTGCTCAGGCTGGTCTCGAGCTCCTGACCTCAAGCGATCTTCCTGCCTCAGCCTCCCAGAGTGCTAGGATTATAGGCATGAGCCACCTTGCCCGGCCCAGCCCTTGTGTTTTAAAGAGAAGATTACTCAATTATTTTATTGATTGTTTTTAAAAAATACATGAATTAAAAAAACGCCATTGCTACCTTTAATGACTGAACCTTTGAATAGATTTACCAACTAAAAATTGGAAATTTTGCATTGAATAAACGAGTTTTATTCTTTGAATATCTTATATTCTGTCTTTTGGCTTGATTTTGACCTAATTATATTTTGGTAATTTTAGAGAACTCTTTGACATCTCCTGAGATGAGTGGTTAAAAAAGGGGTAACCTTAATGGCAAAAAAAGTTAATGATAGTTGTTAAGTGCTTGACTTAGGTAGACACTGGGGAGAATCTGTTCTTTGAGAAGAAAGATGAAAAATAGGAGAGCCTGGTTTTCATATGCATTTTCTGAAGGTAAGGCATTCGTTTTTTACTTTCTTTGTAATTGCTTATTGTGTAACATCTTATAGGCAAAGAAATCAAAAGAGACTGAAGACACACCGAACGAACCATCTTTTCAGGATTTTGAGTACCCAGAGTATGATGACTACAGGGCAGAGGCCTTCCTGCACCAACAGAAGAGGATAGAATGCTACAGTAAGGCAAAAGAAGCTTATCGGATGGGGAAGAAAAACGTTGCCACCTTTTATGCCCAACAGGTAAATGGAAAGATGATTACGATTTTTTCTTTGTCAATTAAAATATCTAAATATTAATCTTGGAGCAGATAACAACATCTGTATTGTGATAAGATTAAGTTATTCTGGGGAGTGCAGAAATTATGTAAGGTGTCCTGATACCTAAGAAATGTATTGTTCTGAGAATTTTATCTCCTTTGAAATGCTCAGTTTCTGTGGTTCCTTTTGCATTTACAGCTTCCATAAATTAGAGTTTATTCTGACAGTCCATATTTTCTTTTAGGTTAGAGTCTATCATTTAGTACTATTAATACTTCTAAACAGATACAAGTTTTTGAGGAAAGGCAGCAGAGTGTTAACATTGGTCATCTCAGGCTAGGATTACAAGGATTTTGTGCTTTCTATCATGTTTGAATTTTTAGTAATGTATCACTTTTAAAGTCAGAAAAAGAAAATGACATTAATATTTTTCAGGGAAGTAAAATTTTACCTAGTCTTATTTGACATGGTGTTATTAAAAAATACCTCCTTGATTCACTTTTTATTTTTGTGGTTCCATGTGGCTTACTTCTTCATGATGGAACAAAGAAGGGTATCAAACTGGCATAGCCCTAACAGCAGACCTTGGGGGATGGTTTCAAGGGTAACTACAAGATGTTGAAAGGTAATGCCAAGACAAGACCCAGGATTATCAAAGGATACACAAATAATAAACCAGTGGGTTCCTTCTTAGACGGTATATTAGTCAGAATTCTCCAAAGAGACAGAACCAGTAGGATACATGAAAGGGGATTTATTAGGAGAAATTGCTCCCATGATCACAGAGGTGCAGAAGTCTTACGATAGGTTGTCTGCAGCCTGGAGAACCAGAGAAGCCGGTAGCATGGCTCAGTCCAAGTCCAGAGCCTCGGAACCAGGGAAACTGGCAGTGTAGCCCCCAGTCTGAGGTCGAAGGCCCAAGTCCCAGAGTTCGAAAGCTGAAGAACCTGGAGTCTGATGTCCAAAGGCAAGAAGAGAGAAAGCTTCCTGCTCTGGAAGGGAGAGAAAGCAGAGCGAGAGCAGTCCCCTTCTTCTGCTTGTTTGTCCCAGACAGGCCTCCAGCCAATCAGATGGTGCCTGCCCCACCGAGGGTAGGGCTTCCTCCCTGTCCACTGGCTCATGCGTCCGTCTCCTCCAGAAACAGCCTCACAGACACACCCAGAAACAATGCTTCACCCACTGTCTAGGCATCCCTCGAATCCAGTCGGCACCTAAAATTGACCATCACAGATGGGTGGTGTTTAGTTAAGTTTCCCTCTTTTACGATTTTTGGTTCAGAAAATATTAGAAACAAAGATTCAGTAATTTAAGAACTACATTATTAATTCACTGAAATTTACCTAAATTTTGATGCATTCTTGTTTATTAGCCCATTGCATTATTTAAGATTTGAGATTTATTGTTCCTTTTTTCTTCTGCCTTTTACTTGGGGCACTATTGATTTCTTCATTGCCTAAGTAGCAAATATCTAAAGTGTCCATTGGGGATATATTTATAATTAAAGGGTAGTCTTCATGAGCAGAAGATGAAAGAAGCCAATCACCTTGCTGCTGTGGAGATCTTTGAAAAAGTCAATGCCTCGCTGCTGCCACAGAATGTTTTAGACCTCCATGGGCTGCATGTGGATGAAGCTATAGAGCATTTGATGACAGTTTTACAGCAGAAAACTGAAGGTAGGACTATGGTAATGACAAATTTCAATAGAATATATATTTTTGCTTATATTTTCATAACTTGCAAATTCAGAAGAGTCTGAATATGTAGGCTGAGAATATCTGTGCCACATTACAGATGTTTGTATTAGTCATTCTTCAAGAAAACTTTCTAGCCTGGGCAACGTAGCGACACCTCATCTCCACAAAAAATAAAATTAGCTGGACGTGGTGGTGAATGCGTGTAGTTTCAGCTACTCAGGAGGCTGAGGTGGCAGGGTGATTTGGACCCGGTGAACTATGGTCACTCCACCGTGCTCCAGCCCAGGCAACATAGCGAGACCCTCTCTGTTAAAAAAGAAAAGAAAAAAAAAAGAGCCTTAGAAAGGAATCCTCATTGGCAAGACCATTAACATTTTTTTCTTTTTTCTTTCCCTGTTTCAGTTATTTGTACTCCTCTTTTGTGTTTATTAAAGGGATGGCATAGTGTAATCTGAGAATCCTCTGTGACTTATAAATGAGAACTTTAAGAAATATATATCTTTGTCCAGTAGACATTCATTAATCGATATTTATTAGATATCAGTTGTTCTATAGATGTTTAATGAAATACAGAAGTAAATAAGGGAGTAGGATCATTGCAGAACAATCATAGAAGGCAGGATTTCTAAGAGTTCGCGGAGTGGCGGTACGCTTTCTTTCTTTCTGCACGTGTCTTGTCTTTGCAGGCCAGTAGGAAAGAGCACCTGCCGCATCTCTAAGTTCTACCTCTTCCTGGGGCTCTGAATGAGGATCTTTTCTATGCCTCCACTCAATATCATGTACTTCACATACATTAAAGTATTGTGTTGGTTTAGCATCTTATTCCTTTTCATCATCAGATGGCAGTACTTATGAGAAAAGCTCAATCTGTTCTAGTTACCTCTGACTGTGATACTGTCATCTCCTTTCATCACTACTAGAGTATTTTTGAGTTCTCACCTTAGCTTTCTCTTTCTCTTCCATTTTATTGTGGAGATGCTAGAGCCCCATGCCTCAGCTATGTTACCTACGACTCCACAGCCCTGCCCTGTCACTGAGAGTTGTATTATTCCGATTAACTGGTTTATATACATTTTAAAAGCCTTTTTACTATACTTTTCATAGGTTTACCAATTTGATACATATCACTTATATTAAATAGTCGATTAAGTAAGATTGATAGGTAAGGTTGAAAATTCATATGTTTATCATAAAATATTGTAACCATATTGGAACGCTTACGGAGTAATACTATAAACACCTACACACCAGTGAATCCAAGTAACAAGTGATAGCATTTTGCCGTATATGTTTCTCATTTAGTTTTACTCTTCTCTTTGTATTCCTTCCCAATCCTTTATTCATTCTTCTCTCCCTTTCTAATGGAAATTACCATCCTGCAAATTTGATTTACATCTTTTCTGTCCAATTTTTGTACCTTTACTGTATGTGCATGTGTTCATATTTAGGGTATTCCTTTTGTGAGTTTTAAGAAAAGTACATGGTGTCACATTATATCATTAGCCAAGCCACTTACTTTATTTTCACCAAATGCAGTTTTCAGGGTCTACTATTTATCTTGATGGCTCTGCTCATCCTGGTTGGATTATAACTGCATATAATATTCTGTGAATGTGTCATAATGTATCCATTCCTGTCTTGATGGAAATTTAGTTATAATGTTGCAGTGAGCTTTATTTTTGCGTATCAGCATATGTACTCTTATCACTATCCTTTTTCCTAAATTTTTATGTTGAATAAATTAAAAACCTACAGAAAAGTTGAAAGAATTATACAGTGAACACCCATATATCCTTTACCTAGATTGGTCAATTGTTAATGTCTTAATCTCTCTAAAATTGCTGAACCATTCGAAAATAAGTTACCGACTTTGTGGTGCTTTACCTCTAAATACCTTGGCATGCATATCTCTTAAAAACAAATTCATTCTCTGACATAGCCATAATGTCATTGTCACTTTTAGGACATGTAACATTGATAGAATAATGTTATCTAATACACAGGCCATATTCGGATTTCTCCACTTGTATGGATAATGTCCTCTACAGCTGTGCCTTTTTTCCCTTCAGTCCAGGATACAATCAAGCATCATGTGTCCTAATCTGTGTGGTTTCCTGTAATATAGACTAGTTCCCCTGCCTATTTTTTATGATCCATGTTGTTGACATTTTTTGAAGACTCCAGGCCAGTTATTTGGTAGATTATCCTACAATTTTAATTTGCCTGATTGTTCCCTCATGATTAGATTCAAGCTAAAAATTTTTTTGGTGAAAATACTACTTAGGTGATGTTAAGCCATCCTTGGTGAATACATCAAGAGACATATACGGTTAGTTTGTCCATTACTGGTAATGTAAAGTTTGATTTCTTAGCTGCAGTAGGACTCTATCAGATTTTTCTGTTTAAGTGTACTTTTTCCCCCTTTGTAATTAATTAGTGATCTTTGGTGGTTGATACTTTGTGGCTCTGTGAATCACTGTTCCTCTATAGTATTTCGCCTAATGGTTTTAGCATTCATCGGTGATCCTTGGCTGAAGCGCTTATTATGTTGGTGGTTGCATAACAGTATTTTATAATTTGTGTTCATTCTATGTGTTATTAGCTGACATTCTCTGATAACGTAGCAAATTCTCCCACCGTATAGTTTTTAAATTGAATTTTGGAAATCTTGGAGAAAATCTTGAAACAGCAGTAAAGATTAGAAAAGAGAAAATTTAAGAGCAATTTAACACGTTGTTTAATCTAGAGAAAAGAAAACTCTTCAAATATATAGAAATATTATAAGAGATAATCTCTCTGTAGAGGATGGATTAATAGCTATTTACTCGATAAATACTTGGTTATCTTCTATATTCTAGGCATCAAGGATAAAGCCGTGGAAAAGACACACAATCCCTATCTCTATGGAGTTTACCATCCTAGTGGGTAGATGACAGTGAACAAATAGTTACATAAGTAATTAGCATTATGATAAGAAAGTACGGTTGAATTTAGGATGAATTTCAGAATCCCTACGTAACATGTTCCTTGCCTGCCTCTCCAGTCCCATCTTGTACTTTGCTCCTGCCTCCTTTTCTGTACGTTTAACTGCACTGTCATTCTTGACCCTCACACTAGTTGGGCTTCTTGTTAATAATAGCTTCTCATAGTATTCCTGCTTACCATGGTGTTTATAAAAAGCTTATTGTATAATTGATTGTTAAAGGTCTGTTATTTTGGCCAAGAATTGAGCCAAGATGATTCTCGAATCATTGTGTATAGTGCTTTTTGTTCAACACTCAAAAAAAATTTGAATAAATGACTGAATAAGGGTAGGTATTCCTCTCTTTGTTGACAAATAAGATTGTATATATTTAAGGTGCACAACATGATTTGATAAATACCTTGTGAAATGATTACCACAGTGAAGTTTAGCCATCCATCACCTCATAGTTACCACTTTGTGTGTGTGCAATGTGAACACTTTTGATCTACGCTGGCAACAAATTTCAAGTATTCAGTATGGCATAATTATTATTTTTTATATTTTTTTATAGAGACAAAGTCTCACTGTGTTGCCCAGGCTGGTCTTGAACTCCTGGGCTCAAGTGATCCTCCCACCTCAGCATCTCAAGTAGCTGGGACGACAAGCATAAGCCATTGTGCCTGGCCACAATATAGTGGTATTAAGTATAGTCACCATGCTGCACATTAGATCCCCAGAACTGTTCTTCTTATAACTGAAAGTTTGCACCTTTTGACTAACATCTCCTCATTTCCCCTACTCCCTGGCAACTCCCATTCTATTCTGTTTCTATGAGTTTGGCTTTTTTAGATTCCACATAGAAGTGCGATCATACGTTATTTGTCTTTTTCCACCTGGCTTATTTCATTTAACATAATGCCCTCCAGGTGCATCTGTGTTGTTGCAAATGGCAGGATTTTTTTTGTTTTTTATTGTTGAATAATATTCCTCTGTGTATGTGTCACGTTTTCTTAATCCATTCATTTGTTGGTGGACATTTAGGTTGTTTTCATGTCTTGACTATTGTGAATAATGCTGCAATGAACATAGGGGTGCAGATATCTCTCTGAGACACTGATTTCATTTCTTTTTGATATATACCCAGAAATGGGATTGCTGGATCATATGGTAGCTCTATTTTTGATTTTTTGGGGGAACCACCATACTATTTCCTCTCATTTTATAGATGAGGAAAACTTTAAAGTTTAATAGAATGGAAAATAATCAGTGTTAATAAGAATATGGGTAAACTGGAACCCTCATATTGCTGGTGGAAATGTTAAATGGTGCAGCAGCTGTGGAAAATTCAGCAGCTCCTTGGAAGGGTAAACCATAGAATTACCATGACCTAGCAGTTCTGTTCATAGGCATGTACCCAAGAAATTAAAACACCATTTGTCTTCACAAAAACTTTGTACATGAATGTTTGTAACAGTCCAAAAGTAGAAACAACCTAAATGTCCATCAACCGATGAATGGATAAGCAAAATGTAGTAGATCCATAGAAGGGAATTTTATTCAGTCATAAAGAGACATAAAGTTCTGATACATGCTACAACATGGATGAACCTTGTTAACAGTATGCTATGTGAAAGAAGCCAGATAAAAAATGCCACATACTGTATTGTTTCATTTTTATGGAATGTTTTAAATATATAAATCCATAGATTAGTGGTTACTAGAGCTGGAATGGGGAGTCTATGGGGAGTGACTGCTAAGAGGCACAGGATTGCTTTGTGAGATGATGGAATGTTCTGGAATTAGTGGTGAAAATTGTACAACATTGTAAATATACTTAAAAACCACTGAATTGTACATTTTTAAATGGTGAGTTTTATGTTACGTGAATTTTATTAATATCTCAATTAAAAAAAAAACCTGCAAGAAAAAAAGTTAAATAACTTGCCCACAGTGACTCAGAGACCCAACATGCAAATCCTTTCTGGACACCAAGGCCCCTCTACTGCATGCTGCC